TTGGTTTTTGTGCACCGCTTTGTTTAACGAAACTCGAGCTTTGCACCGTTTGCTTTGCACCGCTGGCCGGTGACCACCTAACCCCAGGTCTCATCAGTTCTGGGCTCTGTCTGTTCTGTCAATTGCCATAAATCTTGATTAAAAGCGGAAAATGTGGCGAAAAGGTGAAAATTGTTCGCGTTTCAGCGAGCGCTGGCGATTGCTATTTTCGTAGCTTGAAGGCTTTTGTATAATTTCCAAGTCGCTTTCTGAGCATTTCCGTTGTAACCAGAGCCCGTCTCCTGCCCTCCCTATCCATCCGGCTACACACACCCACCTCACTTATCTTCGATTGCAGTCTGTTTGTTCGTGTTCATTTTCTTCTCTTCTCTTCTCTTCTCTTCTCTTTTTTTCTTGTTGCGCCCCGACTGGGTTATTCTCTGTATTCTCGGTTTGTCAAGGTTCGCAAGGTCAATGATTTAATACTTTAGTAGTCGGCTTTGCATTGTCTCCAAGAGCCCAACATTCCTATGACTTTTCTTTGTGTTCGCAATGTCATATTTTCATTATTTATTGTCTGCTACTAACATGAAAAGCCACGACACTAGCGCCACTTGTTCGCCTTTTCCCAGCTTTATGTCTCTGTGGCTGTCCCCAGCCAGTTGATTGAGAAGTCAAAAGTCAGAAACTATTAGACCATCAGTCGCCTTTGGTGTATTTCGTCGATAGGTCGGTCAACGAATGCACATCGAATTGGCTGTGGACTGGATTTCTCTCTTATGGAATACATATTCCAGTTTGGCTTCTAGTTAGATTGTCTGACCTCGCTCAGCACAGTGGAGCACATTGCATTCATTGCTAACAAAAGTTTTCGACAACGGTCGTTAGGCATTTGTCTGGCTGGGCAAAAATGTTCTCATGCATGTGCAGGGTGCGGTGCAGCCCTTAAGTGCAACCCCTTAAAAAGGTTCGTCATGTTCCACGGCAACTAGGGTTGATTGAGTAAACAGCGCATGCGCAGCTCCTTTGACAGCAGATGCCGTCAAAGCAGGAAAGTTGATATCTTGAAACTCGACCGTTTGTTTTTTTTTTAAGCAGGTGTACTCGTGGCGCTATGTTCTTGAAATGATATACACTGAAAAAAGTCGGTAACTCTTTAAACTATTACGAATATGAATATCAGAAACACTACCCAATTCGAGCAACTGAGCTATCGAATGCTCGTATCAATTTGGTGTCAATACACCAATTTTATCTACAGAAAACTTGTTATCAGTTCAATGTTTCCTAGATCATAATTAATAATAGTACAGCCCCAAATCGATTGTAATGCTCAAAGTTAACATAAAGCGACATGCGATTTATACCTGACGCATATGTGAAATATTTATACATTACGATATGACGCTACTTTTTCGGATAGTGTCCAAATGTAACTGGACACGCGACTGCAGCTTGCACTGCATTGCAAAGTGCATAGAAAACGAGGTAACCCGAGACTAGATTATACTAGAAATATATATATAATAAGCGTACATATATACTATATAAATATGTGGTATGTGTATATGCCTCTCCTGCAACAAGTGACTGTAAACTGTGCCTACCTCGTCTTATTCCACACATTAGAAGCACTTAAGATCAGTCCGATTAGCAAATACTCTGAGACGTACAAAGAGTACCACGGCCATATATTGTAATGATTTATGCCAGACATTGACTGCAGCAAAGAGCTAGTCTAACGAAGCGAAGAGTCAGCAGCAGGGAGAATCTAAGTAGAGCGCCAAAATACGAATATTACACAGTTATATTATGGCTTTCAAGTTCAAGTGCGTTTAAACTAAGAGACACTTAAAGCAGAATACAAATGTACACTTCCACTACATATATGTATGTATGTATGTATATAGAAATGCATTCATTCGCATCAGCAAACTTGTATGTATATGCCTAAGTAGGCATAATTTTCGTGAGCAGACTTTCTTTTAATCGCGATGTTTGTCCACTAAATGATGATAACAATGCTGAGCTAAGCAAACTTTATCGGGTCGTGGTCATATGCCATAATGAAAAACCCAAATAAAAATATATTTTCTGTTTTAAGCACTCATTTCCAAAATTCAAAGATAAACATTCTTTCGCATACGCCGGATGGAATGCCACATGACCATAGTCTAAAACAACTAAGCAAATTATACATAAATGCCAATTTATGCCTTTAAGAGTCTTATTTGCTTATTTCAAGTCTTAAGTTACTTACCCAGCGTTGTTAAAGGCGCTTAAAATCCAATTGGGAACTAACCGGTTTTTTGTGCACTTATTTGAAGACGGTTACTTGTGGCTCTCCGTGAAGTTCGTGTAATATTTGTGTATAAACTGATATGGTAAATAAACTATTCAGCTAAAGGTAAACACAAATAATTATGCAAACAGTCGTATTATCTGCACGTCGGAGACAATTTGTATATATACACAAGTATATGTATACAGATTGTCCAAATGAAACACAATTCAATACCGAGAAAAACGTTTTATCAACAGCAGGCAATGAGTAGCCAAGTGGAGTATAATTATAATAAGCACAATTATTTATATAATTGTAGATGTGTGCTCAAGTAAAAGGTTTTTATTTTTATGCATTTATTTTTAACGTGAATCTTTCAAATGCAAAACTGTAAAAAGAAACGCGGCAAACTTTTGGAACGCGGTCGCACTTAAATATTTTACTCATGCGTTAAACATGTATAGCTGGCTGGTAAATGCATTTTCCACTAATTAAGCATGCTTTCAAGATAGCACTTGGAAAACTTAGAAAACACAAAACCCGCCCACCGCCGACTGTGGGGCGCGATTCAAAAATAAATAGCCAGGTACATTTGTGCATGGGCCGCTATTGCTCATGCCCAAGTGTAAGTAGCTATTCTTTAAGCAGAAACCCAAAATAAAACGTTTTTATTTATATGATTTCTTATTCACTGGAAGAAATTGAAATGTACTTCAAGCACACACAATACAGCCAGCGTGGCCAGAAAAAAAACTCAAACGTTGGCAGAGGCGACACCAAGCCGGAGGCACCGCACGTGCAGAGAGCCAAAGAGCAACTGAAACGAAACGTTCGCGCGATCAGCAAAAGCAACTGTATATAGCGGACGGTTCCATCGGCACAAACGAGCCGACGAACCCAAATACATTAAAAACCACCAAAAAAGACTCAGAAAAAAAAAAAAACAAAAACAAAACAAAACAACAACTGAGCTGTAGCAGGCAATTGTTCGCCGGCAAAGCTGTGACGTGATCGATGACAAATCGCTGAAACGTGCAACACCACTGAAACTTCCACTCAAAGTGGATAAAGCTATGAGTGAAAAGAGTGCGTCCACACAGCTGTACATATCTATGCCCCTGTGCATACGTACATATATTCATATAACTATCGGCAGCACCACTTTGATTCATAAATGTATTCCAGCTACCCGTTAGGGTGGTTACTTTAATTTTACCCTTGGACATTGCTATTCATGTGGCGTCATTTATGCCCTGAAAACTACACGCTTGAGTCCTGTTTAAGTACTCAAACAATCGGCACATCCATTGGTTGTAAGGCAAAAATTAATTTATTAACTAATATTGTGCGATATTTTATTGTTCGTCTCAATGCAAATAAATATGCAATAGAATATGAAGTGCTTCCCCTGCGATATTATTTATACAAATTGTTTGCTTTCGATATATTTACTTTGCCCATTTATCGAGCAGATAATGTCATGGCAGAAACTTTTAATTAACATATATACATTAGTATATTAATTCCGAGATCAAGGTCACTTCCTCTTGCCAGCCACAGGGCGTTCCTTAAACATGAAATTACAAAAATGAAAATGGAATGGTAATAAATCAAACTCAAAATGTTTACACATATTACACACACACATTTCATGTTTAATACAAGACCCAACTGGTGTAGATATCAAATCTGACGGATATGCCCTAACATCCATCACATGTACTCAAATTGAAGGAAGCCCACGGCTCGAATGGGCGCCAGTCGGAGCAGCCAAGAACAAAATCAGTTAGGTTCGTATAAATTTTAGGTAATTCTTAAAACTCCTGAGGTTATTACGCGATTCACGTTGGCAAACAAGTGGGGGGCAGAGCACATATGTGCACAGGCATACATCATACAAATGAGCATGGAGTGTGTGGATGTGTGTGTGTGTGTTTGTGTATGTAAAGGAACACAATTTTCACATGTCTTAGAGGACTTCCATTCCGAAAATACTAATTAAATGTTAATGACCTATTTGGCATTTGAAAATCTTAAATTTATTAATAACGCCTGTTTTAACTTAGAAGTCTACCGACGAATTGCTAATTCGATGATTATTGGGTGTAGAAATCATGTTATATGTATGTATGTATATTACAAATGCGCAGCATGCGACACGAAGACCTTATGACTTGACATTTGACTGTAGTTCTGTGGTTACGTTTGTAAACACACACATACACACACACACTTGCATTCGGGGCACTCATACTAACACACGGCCTATAATTTAATTAGCTGTGGCCTTTCAATTGCGTTCATTATAATTACATATATTTTTATCAGCAGTCGTGGGGTAACTGTAGACGACAGTCGCTACGACCAAGACGGGGCCCATGTGCGGCCTTTGTCAGTTGTCAATAAGTCAAGTGATGTTAATTAATTGTGGGTGATAGTGGAGCTCTCTCTACGTGCCGTCGTCCACAGTTAACCTGCTAGAAACAGTTAATATTTAACGCGCACACAATTAAGAACGACATATACATATCTTAATCTATACATATATCTGTCGATGTACATATGTACGCTCTTACGTAACAGTGCATTAGGTCCACTCAAGCATATAATTGAATTACAATCCGTGACTCAAGCAAAGCTCAAGAAAAACACCAAACCGCAATATTAATCGTTTTCATAATCTATGTGGGTATTGTGCGGCATTCCAGCTAGACAAAAACATAATAGATTATGATTTAATTATACATATACATAATTATTTAAATAAATTAGAAGCTATATCACGGCAACTAACTTAGCCCAAGGAAACGTTTCTTACGTTATTACTAATATTAATAAGAATTCGATGTGTTGCTGCTCTTCAAAATAACTTGGATTTCTGTATCGCTTGTGAATTGTTGAAATGATGCTTGGCAATTGTGTGGGCTATGCTGCCTGGACGCACCAGCTGACGTTGCAGTGCGTCTCCATAGAGTTTTACAAGTGAAGGCTCGTCTTCTATGGGCTCTAGATAAGCCTCCAGTCCGCCGATCAACTGGAAAGTGGAACAGTATTAGGCGATATGTAAATACAAGATATTTGCAGCACATACCAAACTCTCATCACAATTTAAAAAGCGCATTGCCTGCACATGCTCGGACCAGATGCGTCTACGCCACTTGTTATCATACTTTTGAGCCAGCGGGAGCAGCACTAACGAGCTAAATAGCTCATCGCCATAGCTTGCCGCTTCGAAGTGGTTTACAAACAGATAGTATAGTGGTTCGAAATTGGCCTTGTCCTCAAATGTAGCATCAAAGTCGAAATGGTGTGTTTTATTCTGCGTGTAGAAATCCAGCAATTGCGCGTGTAGTAGCTTATGCAGCTCTGGTTCCAGAAACTGACTATCGGGACCCATAAAAGCTATCATCAGATACATTAACTTTTCAAGTGGACTGACAATTTGCAAACCCTGCTGCTCTAACTGCTGGACAAAGCTGAAGGTCATGCGTACCACCTGATTTTCTGTGGGAGGCATTCAATTAAGGCGAAGTAAATAGAAATAGCTGAATATTGACTCACCTGAGTATATAACCGCAGGAACCTGCTGTACATTTTGCAAATAATTGTTAAGCAGCAGGCGTAATTGAAAATAAGGCCAATCAGGCATCAACACAGGCGCCTGAGTATAGCAGAGTGTCAGCGTGGGATCTCTGTTTTCCTGCATAAGAGAAACAGTCAATGAAGCACTAACAAAAATAAAACAATATAAACTCACGGCTATAAAATGCGAGTAGACGACTTCCTTGCAAGTTTGTTGTAGCAGTTGCAAAGACTTTTCATCTAACTCCACATACTTCCCACTAAAGATGTACCGTTCGAATATGCTCTTCATTGGCTTGGCCTGTGCAGCGCTCAAGGAGCACAGATAGTTATAAACGACCTGAAGCAGTTGCGTGCGTGACAAATACGTTTCAAAGCCATCGGTGCTCAGTAGCTGATAGACAAACTTCAGTTCGCTGCGAGCAAAAAAGTTGCTGGCCAGAAAGCGATTCAGACGTGTGCTCAATTGCTTTAAATACTCTGCCAAAGGCTCCAGCACAGCAGGTTGGAGTAGCGCTTCGAATAGTGGCTTCATGCCATCCTCCAGTGGTGGCTCAAGCAGAGCCCAAATATTACTCAGCAGCTGCACTGGATACGTGTCGCTCACAATCAACTGCGGCCCGTAGTCGTTCATTAACACCGCCCCCACATTCGGCAATGGGGCGTGTACATTGCGCCGATCACTGAAGCTGCGTAAAATTATAGAGCTACGTCTATGTTTGATTGAGAGGTAGTTATTAAAGCTAATTAATCAAGAGATCGCCTGTCAACTCTACTCACGTCAACTGCTGCACACATGCAACAAATCCAGCTGAGCAAACAAATTCTGGCAGAATTTTGCGCAGAAACTGTGGAAAGGACGCGGTGCCCAGGTAACTATGACGAGAGAACCAGCCAACAGCATACAGCAAAGCACTCAAGAGCGTCAGCTGTGTGTACTGTAATATAATATATATGAAATGAGATTTATACTTGATGGAATCTCCAACACTTTACTCACATCCTTTAGACCTTCGCTACGCGTCGCCTTGTGCAGCCAGCTGCAGCAGCAGTTGTGCAATGGCTCCAAGAACAGTTGCTGTGCCTCAATGTCGCATGCACCGCACTCACCGCTCGCCACAATCGCCACCACAACGGCAGCTGCGTGCTGTCGTATTAGCGCCGAACCGCCCACCTCGAATACACAATGATTAAAGTGCCAGTCAAGTATCTGACGGAGCGCAGGCAGGAATTGTCTGTAGAATAATAGGTATTATGATTCCGGCATTTATCAACGTCAAGATCATTAGCTATATAAATAGACATATTTCCAAGCAAGCCTTAGTTTGGGGTTGACGGGCAATAGCTACTTGTTTGAGAGTTTAATCCGGACTTATTGAGCAGTGATAAAACTTTGGATATTTGCGCAATGTACTCCAAAACGTTAAGCGTAACGTTGGCATTGCTTGTTTTGTGCTGCGAGATAACGCCACATCAAGCGGTAAGCTCCTATTGATTGAAATCTTATCCTATGAATTTTATATAACCAAAACTACCACAAAGTTCGATGTACCTGAAGTGGTCAAAAAACATGTGAAAAAATTGCATAAGCGCTGCATGGCCAAAACGGGCGTCAGTGAAGGTAAGCAACAGGTGAAAGCCCTAATTTAAAGCTCGCTTAGGAGGATTTTTTGCTTGCAGAGATACTGGAACAGGCCCAAAAGGGGAATCTGCCAAACGATCCAACCTTTAAATGCTTTTTGCACTGCATGTTTGATATGTTCGGATTGGTATGTAAAATATGCATAAGACTCCACAATAAATTGCATATAACTATTACTAATAGATCGACAGCGATAATGTTATGCGCCTGGAGGCTTTGCTTGAAATATTGCCAGAAGAAATACATGATAAGATTTTGGCTTTGGTAGATGCATGTGGCAAGAAAAGTAACTACGATTATATCCAAGCGTTTTGTTAATTTTAAAGACTAATTTTTTTGTTTTATCTACTCGACTACAGAGGGAGTTGACGGCTGCGATACCGCCTATCAGTCGGTCGAATGTTACTTGGCTACGGATGCACCTTTCATGCAATCTGTCATTATCGACCTAGTTGGCTAGCAGAAAACTTACTTGAATGATTCCCGATCTATGATTCCCAGTAGCAGCAGACAACGCAATATGCGGAGCGCCTCGATTTGAACACGTATTAATTTGCCCTACATTGGATACAAATTTAATGTTACCAAAACTGAATTTTATAATTATGAAATTTGCAGAGCCTTCTTACCCTTACGTTATCGCGATTGAATAAAAACTCTTTTAATCTTTGGATTAATGTTTCATTTGCCAATTGCTTAGCTATATCCAAATGCTGGCAGATCAGAACGCGCAACAGCTTTAGGCAAAGATATTGAGGATAACCGTAGAATGAAGACTCTGTTGTGCCCGTAGCAGCTGTTAATAAACAAATACATTTATATATTCAATATTCAATGAAAACGACTAGGATTGGTAAAAATCTTACATGCATTAGGCAAGAAGTTGTCCAAAATTACATTCAGCATGTCTTTTTCCTGTGCCACTTGCCTGGCCGTAGGTAAGTTTGTTCGAGCAATACGTATGAGTATCTTCAGGCAAGACTCGACAGTGCTGTTCTCTGGACGTACTGAGTTGAATATAAATCTTTAAGCAGAAAAATGCTTTAATTCATATAAAATAATATAGAGTTAATGCATACCGAATGCGCTTTAAAATATTCGTTCGTAGCAAGCAGCTGATTAGATCAGTTTCTGCCAGCTGGAAGTCATCCATGGACATACGGCTATCTCGATCTGACTGATCGTCATCAACATCTGCGCTTACTGCCTTCGAGTTGGAGCGCAACAGCGCCATGTAGCGTTGCAGAAAGGCCACAGAGTTGGGATCGCGCGAGTCGTCGCCATCTGTCAGCACTTGCAGCGTTGGCTGCCAATGGCAATAAGCGTTCTCATAGATATGATCGAGCAAAACTTCATCCGTTTCATTGTAGCACAGCCGAGCCAAGGCCCTACTGACCACTTCCAATTGTGCTGGCGTATTGTCATCTAGGCCAAAGCGTAGCAGAAAGAATATTTTGGAAATGGGCAATGTCAGCACCTGATCATAAAAGCCCTGATTGTAAATGCTGAATATACCAGCAATTGCGCCAAAAGCCGAAATGCGTTGCTGCAACACTGTCGAGCTGAAACAGAGTAATTTCATTATAATGGCTATACATTTTATAGACAAGGCAACGTACCGTGCCAGACGAAAGAGTTCCTGCAATGTATAGCCTGGTCGCTCAGGCTCCTCACCATGCAAATACAAATCCCGATCATCAGTATTCTGTGGCAATTCATCAAGTGAATGGGGCAACAGAACGCCCTTCCAATCGAAGCGTGCATTGAATTGTTGACCAGGCTTAAGCTGTGCTATTTTCGCGGGAATATCACGCATCCACGCCAGTTTGTGTTCCTCAACTAGATTGAAATTCAACCAATTGCCTTCATCACTTTGCTGCAGTAATTCGTGGGCTGGATTCGAATCGCTTAAGGCAGCGATTACTGGGGAATCCTGATGAATGTTAGGTAGTGGCTTTGCCGTAGTTGCTTTAGCCGCTTGTATAGCACGCTTTTTCTTCAGCAATTCAATTAAAGCGGGATCTGATGATGTACAATCAAATTTAATCCATAGAAGCATATAACATTGTGCTCTTTCTTACCCAAAGAGCTCAGCAACTTTTGTCGCTCCGCCAGGATTTCCTCTTCGCGCATTTGAGATAGAATATTCTGATTTTCTTCATGAATTTCCTTTGACAGTTCGGTATCTTGGATTATAGAACTAGTTTCCATCTGTACTTCATTATGTTGTGGGTCTGAATGACTGCTGTTGGCGTTTAGCTTTTCATTTTTATTGAATTTTTGTGCAAAAATACTCTTTGACTTGTTGTTGTTTTGCTTTAAAGGAGACAAATAATTAAAGCTGTGCGGGAGACATGTTTATTTGAATACATACCTGATTTAGCCGATGTTCTCTTACGACTTGCCGCGGCGCTCCTTCACGTCTTTCTACAATTTCACCCACAACATTATTTATCAGCCCAAAGTCTACCTTTGTCCCACGAACATCTCCCAACATATTTTCGTGGATTTCGTCGAGCAGCATTTGTTTATTTTTTGCATCTTCAGCAATATGAGTAGACTTCGGCGTAATTTCTGGAGAATTTATGGCACTTCCTTGGCTGTTAAGCTTAGCTAGTTCTCGTTTTTGAGCAAACAATGATTTCCCGATAGCTTTAAAAATATTAAATTTACGTTATTTTTTATATTTTGGGCATAGCATCGACAGACTCACGCTTTTCCACTCGTACAACAGTTGCAGCTGGTTGAAAATTTGGATTTTTCTTACGCTCCGCATTGAATTCTGCTGCCATACGAAGGACATCTTCTTCGCTCTCTCCAGGTTTAAGTTTATTAAACATTTTGCATTTGTTGTTCCAAACAAAAAATTAAAAAGCCGCATGCGAATGGTAAATCAGCTGGCTGCAAGGCGCATCAATAGAGATGAGCGATAATAGTATTGCAGAATTTCATTTATCGATACAAAAATTCGTGCGATACTTCAACTATCAATGAACGACATGTTTAAGGTTGTTTTCCAGCACTTGCCACTACTTTTGCACTTAATTTAAATACATCCGTTATGTCTATAAAAAAAATAACCGTACGAAAATGTCTACAAACTTGTGAAAATAATAAATTTATCTATAATCTTTCATATAAAACTTACTTATTGCCATTTAGGGCAGATTTGCAACACAAAAATAGAAAAATTATAATTTTAACGTATTATTTTTTGAACGTAGTACCCGTGTTGGCATTGCACTTAAGCAGAGCCTGCTGTGCAATCAAAGTATCCTTGTGTGGGAGTGCCGCTATTTGAAAGAATGCATCGATTCCCTCCTTAAAAAGCTCTATCGCTTCATTGGTCTTCTGAGCCTGCATGGCTTCGGCAGCCTCCCGGTAAAGTTCCTCTATTTTTATAAGCTTGGCGACGCTTTCCTTCAGCGAAACATTTTTGCGGCAGCGAGGACAGCGAACGTCCTTAGCCAGATCCTTGGGAAACTTGAGCAAGTTCACACAATTTGCCGATGTGCACCTGAAAAAAATATAAGACTTACAAATACTTATATAATGTATGTATATAGATTCAGCATACCAAAATCTGACTTGTTTATCGATCTTCTGCAGCAGAGGCCAATTTTCCTGGCAGGTCATACAATTGCAATTAAATGCGTATCGTCCACGCAACGATCTCTGGCGTTCTTTCAAATTCATCTTGGTGAATATGGGTCCATAATTTACGGCGACTATTTCGTTAGGCCGATGTGGCTTGGTGGCGGACATGACCAATTTCTTGCCCACGAAATAGCCCGCCACACTAGGCCAGCATTCGTGGTTGAAGTAGGAGCCAGTGCCATATAATCCCGCACCCACATAGACGACCTTGCAACCCTCGAAACAGTGCTCATCGGTCACCATGGTATGATAGATCTCGTGGGCATTATACTGCAGGAGCTGCAGCAATCCCAGCAGAGCGGTGGCCACCTGCAGCTCCACAGCAGTGGGATTAACGCCTTCGGTCTTGCGCCGCCCAAAGTACTGAGCCTTCTGCAAAACGCGCATCAGAAATCCCGCCATGAGTGAACGCTGTAGGTGGTCATCCGCTTCACGGACGTCCTGATGGGAGCACAGGTGCTCAAATAATAGATTTGCCGTTGCCAGGCCATCATCCAAGCTAGGGGCTTGTGTAAAGATTCTCAATGCTATAAAGCAGAGTATGGACATACCGGAGCCAATGAACAAGTCCATAAATTGGCACTCGAAGCGATGATAAGTCTCGCAGGCCTCGCCCATGCATTGAGCGCTGCAGAAGGCAATGCCCGAGCAGCGCAAACAGGGCACAGGCGTATGCAGGCTAAAGATTTGATTACGTTTAATAAAATTAAATATTGTCAGCTCAGATTTTACTTACCGCTTGAAGCAATGATGACAATTGGTGCCGAAGAAGTTGGGCAGGAGACACGCAGCCACAGGATCCTCAGCGAGCACCACGTCTCCAGTCTTCAAGCCCTGATCGGCCACTACAAATCGGCCTTTGTCCTTTGTCTCCACCAGCTTAACCACTTTGGCTGCACCGCTGAGCTCCGGATTCTCGCCATGCGTCAATGCAGGAACCACCTCCGTTAGCCGCTCTCGCTTGGCAGGCTTGATCAGAGCAATCTCCTTTCGAGTTATAGTTATAATGCCAGTATTGGCTCCTGCCAGCTTCTCTGCGATCTTCAAAGAGATTTCAGCGCGTGAGCTCTCAGCCATAGCTACAGAATTGATTTGTTGATACCAAGCCCAGTTCAGAGATTTCGAAATACTTGCCTGCATAAGCCTTCGCCATTTTGCAGTAGTAGTCCACGTTCTGTCTGGACTCTACTCCGAAATTGGCAGCCAGCTTGAGGTCACTCAGAGCAGCCTCGCCCTCGCCCTGGCTGATTAGAATGTTCGCACGCGTCAAATAGGCCATGGCCAGAGTCAGGCCATGATCAACGCTCGTGTCCAAATTAGGAGCAGGTGCTCGCATTACAGCCAGATTGGCATGCATCAGCGCCTGCTGGAGCAGCTCCTTGCGATCCGCCTCAACCTCCGCATTACTGCTCATCAAATAAAACTTATCTGCCTGTGCGCGGCGCTGAGAGGAGAGGAGTACGTCTTTCTGCTTGAAAACTGGCTGCACATGCTCCAAGACGCCCAGCACCGGATCACAGATCTCTCGATCACTGAATATAGACAAAATGCGTGCCGCATTCGATTTGAGCTTCCCGAAATAGTTTTGCAGCCACTTGTCGCCACATGCATCTTTCACATTCAGATAGAATTCGTTGAAGAAGCCCTTCTTATCGGACTGCACGGTCCGTGTCGAGCAGATCTTCTGATAGTCCGGATCGTAATCCATGTTCCTTTGACAACTTTCTCACACTCGAATTATATAAAGATGCAATATGACTTCACGTTGCAATGGCAGCTACAAGATTTTCAGAGACGTCTCGCTTTTCCGCTGCTGCTGAGTATTGGAAACAGCTGGCGGGCGGATGCCCTCCAAAAATAGCACCGAACATTTGGTTCGCCGCGTTAAAAATAATTGTTTAGGATTCGTATTCGAACTGGTTGTAGTTCATTTGTGTTTTGCTCGAATACGGTCTTCTGTCCCACAGTTGCGCCAGTTCGCCGCTAGAGATCGCCAGAGTGCTGAAAGGTTGCGCATACGACACGTAGTCCGTACGTATGCCAGAAATGAATACGTATATACGAATATGCTTTGCATTTATTATATGTCGTTTTTATTTGTAACTTGAGTAGGGCATACAAATCACATTAAATAATGTTTTTAAAAATTAGCTAAACGTACAAAAATATAACAATATACAATATATATATGTATATATATAAATATATATGTACGCATGTACCATATATGCCATTATATTCGTATATTAAATAGTTAATGTTGAATTCAATTCAGTAATTTAGTGGAATATCAATATCAATTATATTCATAGACTGTTATATCCATATATATATGCTAGATAAATATTAAACATACATAGATTCATGTTTCTATTCGTATAATCTGCAACTATATATTTGGAAAGAGACTTCATATTTTTAAGAATAATAGTTTTGGAATCGTGTCTAATATATATTTGCTATCTAATAAAATAAAATAAAAAGTCCTATTGAGCATAACTCGGATTATATATACTGTTTGATTTTCAGATGACTTTGCGTGGAATTTTTCATTCCATGACTAGAACTATGTATGTATATTCCATATTAAGCCAATATGCAAATTGAACGATAAACAATAAGAATATTTGTAGTTTAAAGTTTGTATTTATTTGTTTGTTTTAAATAATGCATATGAACTTGTCTGTGATTTCAAGGGGTGAGTGTTAATTAAATAGGTGAAATGGTTGGGTGTTCTTCTTGTTTCCTGAATATGATGTCCAGTATACAGTTTACAAAAATGCGTAAGTAATTAATAAAGAGAATTCACAATATGAAGTACTATTTTCACTAAAAATGTACATAAAAAATTCAATTGACTAATTAAAAATAGGGTACAAAAAAATAAATTTTAGAAATATTTTAACTTATTGTGGGTTTGCTTTTTTACATTCTTTCAAGGATAAACTACTTTCCGCTCTTTGTGATACATATATATCATAGATATATGTATTTAAAATAAATATGATTTTCTTTGTTAATTTTAGTCACAATTAATCTCGTTGGCTTCGCTCGCATCTCTCACAAATACAATCTAAGAAAAATGTCACTAAACTTAACAAATAAAATGCTACAAAATTTCAGCCTCGCCGTCGAACAAAAACTGCGACTATTTTTTAGGAGCGCATAGGTCGGTCCTTGCATTATATGTATGTATGTGTAGGTATATATATGCATGTATATTATAAACTATTATCATCACATTTCAAACGTTAAGTATTAATTGTTATTTCTGTAATTTTATGCTAAACAAATGTCTTTTGTGTACAAGCTTAAAACGCTCCTAAGTATTCATTCGTTTGATTCTCCACACATTTTGGATGTGTTTTTGTTTAAATTTTTATAATATTTTTTCTTTTTTTACTTTTGTAGTTTTGCATTTATTTGTTACGCCTGCCCCAGCTTAAGCACTTGGACTCGGTAAAAACCTTGTAGCCTATAATAGTTGTCTAGACACGGTACAGATTATACAGTTAACGGAGACGAAATGCTTACATAAGCCTTTTGTTGCGATTCGGTTTGCTTCGTCGCCATCTCTCGCAACTGCACTTGCTCGATTTGCTTCATTGTTTGTTTCCTTTCTTTTTGGTATTATAGATAAAGCATTGCAACCGCATGACTTATCCGAAACTGCTCTCTGGCGTCATCTACCTGTTTTCATTTTAATTTTTAAATAAATTAGCACTTAAAATTACAACGGCGTGAGCCTACTGTTGATAAATTAAGAAACTTCTGGGTGATCGGTTTCGTGCCCTGTTCCACGGTCTTAATGTTCACATCTTCCATATTTATAAATAAATTAGCCATAGTATCACTTATTTTGTATTTTTAGAAAGTAATCAAAACTAATTTAACTATAAATTATCAGAAATATATACCAAGAGCATGGAAGAGGCTTTTTCTACACTTAATGAAAGCATCTAATCATTTAACTTATAGAGAAGTCTGGCATTGCAGCAGAGAGCGTATCTTCTCACCTACCACTACTATACAAAGTAGAGCACAGCACTAGAGTCAACTGCACACGCATTTGCACTCGCACTTCGCACATATTAACGGCATCCGCACTGCAGACGGCCACGCAGACGAAGGAGAGTGTGAGGGGGTAAACAAATCACGACATCTTGATGCCCAGTGCTCGACTTGTATATTCATAGACAACATAACTAATGGAAACGGCGGGCAGCACCTTCAGGAAGTTTGGCGTGATGCCACGATACAGTCCCGCAATCCCCTCTTGCCGCACAATCTTGCGGAACAGTCCGGTCATTGTCTCTTCGTTGCTCCCCGCATCGCAGCTTTTCAATGGAATTTGTGTTTTGCGTATCTGGCTGGCTACCGTTAGGGCGGCTAAATAAGTGAAAAACATTTCAATTAGAATCACAAATGAAATAGGAGCAATTGAAAACAAACCTTGTGCCTGTAGCCGCGTTCGTACCAAAGCCAGTGGGTAGGAGCACAGTTGTCCAAGCGCGCTCGATGTACTGCCACATGCTAACAGCACCAGGAAACTTGGCTGCTCGTTGTTGTCGTGGCTCGCTATGTAGCGTCGCTTGAGCGTTTCGTAGACGGCCAAATCAATGCCTGCATAAGGTAGGATGCCAAGAATATTGGGTACATATCCACGGTAGAAGCTGCGGCCGCCCTCTGTCTTGTAGATCTTAGTCGCCGCATCGGCTATGCCCGCGTATTGACCAGTCGTGCGTAGCGCTAGACGTGTCTTTAATACTTCCATTGGATATATAATGGTCTGTGAGATACCTCCAGCTGCCGCGCCTGCATAAAAGCGTTCAACAATGGTCATTTGCCGTGTCGAGTCATTGCCTCGTATTAATCGCTTCATCTGCTCGTAGGCAGCAAATTTAAGCGCTGTTTCTGGTGCAATTTTGAGAACGTTTATGCCATTGCCTCGCCACATACTGCTCACGCCACCTTCTTTAAGCAACATTTTCATACCATCTGAGATTCCAATTTTACATGATTGCACCTGCAAGCAGATGGAAGAGGATTTGATCAGTATTAACCGACTCTTATCTATCGTATTTTCACTGCGCATGTTACCTGCAGAAACACTTTGACTCTATCCAGCGGAGCTGTGCATGTGCGTGACACTGCGCCAGCGAAGCCACCGGCAACGAGGTGTCGCCACCAGAGACCAGTTTGCATTTCCTTTTGCGTAAAGTCATCAGGTACGTTCATATCCTCGCCAATGTCGAGGTACTGTAACAGATCAAAGTTGTAATCGATTAATGACACGAATTCTGGAATAATGCTTAGCCTAAGCTTTAATAACTATTTAGAAAGGGACATGGATTATGAAAGAAGATACTGAATTTGAATCGAGCTACGGGCATACAAAATAAACAAACTAAGATTCAAGTCAGACCAATTCCGTATCCGGGAGCTTAACATATTTGCCCAATAGCAACATCACCGACATCAGCCATCCTTGCACGCCCGCCTGTAAGTATTCCATTAGTTTTGGTTCATGTTTTGCAATTATTCCAAAGCAACGGCAACAACTAGGCAACGTAAGACATCTTGCTGCCACAAGATGGTCCAAGCAAGCTGTTACTCTTGTGTCCTCCTCCGTTCGCCCTCTACGCAACAGCAAAACAAAACAAAAGCCAAAGCCAAATAACAAATTAAAACGCAATGCGGAAGACCATTTCAATACGAACACGCAACTAGTTCTAAATTAAGAAAATTTTGCAAAAAGCAGCGACAGCAAACACTCGTGCCAGCAAATCCTCGATTCCCGTTGCCCACTAGCCCCCATGCGTTTTATTTTGCCAACTGTGCATATATTGTGTGTGAGAGAGTATATAATTCTATTATCTATATATGTTTTTGTGTGTGGGGTATATGTATATACTATATATACATAAATATAAATGTGTCTGTGCAATAATATGTAATACCAATTTGCGAGATTTCTGTTGTCTAGCTTCTGTTCTAGTTTGCCTGTGAGACGTGCCCCCTACTCGCTTACGACTGCGTTACGTAATTAGCTAATATAATGTGTTCGGCGCATGTCGGGTAATTCAATTTCGGCTTATTTTACGCTCAATATTCGCTTAGGCTTCATTGCTTTCATTTTTGCTGCTTGGCGCTGATAACAAGTGCCTGATAAGCCATCAAAGTTGAACGAAATGTCAGCAAAATCGTCTGAAGGTGATAATTAGTTGCCAAGTCTTGTGATTTTCAAAAGCTATTTCATCAACAAAAGATTTTTTTGAAATCAAATATTCCCAACGAAAGTCAAAAGAATATTTCGTCTACAGCTGTAATACAATTATCCATTAAACATGGGCAGATAACCGCAGTTCAAGGATAAAACAATTGAAATCGTTTTGTTTTCAAAGTTCATTTGCCTCTCAGCTCAAGTCACAAACAAAATTACTTCAATGACACATTCTGAATGCGATCTATCCGCGAGTGCAAACATCACAGAAGGTCAAATTGGCCAAAAAAGCTAACAGTCTGCTATACTTGAAATATATATGTGTATGTCTGTATATAACAAACTAAATAGCTGTACAGTAGTAAAGTATATGAATTAATGTTCGTTTTGCATGTACATTCACTTATTATGCATGTGCGAATGAATGACACTCAAAGGAGGATGTACAAAATATTAAAAACAAAATTCCATTTGTCATGTTTAGCATCTTCTCACCCCAGCTGGAATATTTTCAAAAAATTTTGTGCTTTGCTTTTGTAAATTGGCGGAACAATGCGAATGCTTGAATTTATTTATTTGTATTCATATYCAATTTGATTTTAATTTTGTGAATATGTTCCTTGATCTACTTCGTCAAGAGATCATGTGAAGAATGTATAAATAGCATCGAATTTTCGCGAATTTTCCTTTTAGAAAATTGTCAATTTACGCATTCATTTATTTTATTTTTTTATTATTTTGAATTCAACTTTGGAACGGAAGCAAATATATTAATAAATGAGGCACATGACAGTGAAAAGCTTTCTATAAATTAAGTCTATTTATACCATTGCTAACATTCTTATCGCTAGCCATTGTGGAATGTCTGAATGAAGTGAATCTGTAGGTATAAATGAGCAGTGAATAGAAGAAGTAATCAATGTTGGTTTATTCATAAAACTTGATGGCCCTGCGGGCTTTACCAGTTTACACAACTCAATACAACAATGGGGCAGCAATTAAATAGCAGAGAGAAACCCCAAACGAAGGCCCACTAACAAATTCAGGGCATGAAGGCAAACTAGACCAGACACAATGCGAGTGCCTTGGAGAGGCAGCTTCGACAACGAAGTGGAGATCATGAAGGTGCAGCTTGAAACCGGATAAGCTAAAATAAGGTAGCTGACTCACGAGGGTACTTTTAGCTGGAATGCAATGCATGGGTAATACAATCAGCCTGACCAATGACGCAAACAGCAAACGTCAGACGGAGTGCCTGACACGCAATAAGAGATCAACAAGTTTACAAACATTTGACGTCACGGCGTCTAATAAACACACCCACACGTGCACCAGACAGCCGTGACTCAGTGAACATCATAACTGGCTAAAGTTGGCCAAGAGCAAATCATAATGACGTCGCGGAGCGCTTGGCAACAGCCGCTGCCACCGCGAAACGAAACCCCACAAGGCACCGAGCGAAACAAATCAGCATGAAGTGCGTTTGCCCGTCCCTTTCTATGTGAGTGCGAGAGAGAAACTGTGATTGTATTTGTGGTAAAGTATGTCGTAGACACGTTTTTACGATCGACACACGAAGGCGAAGACGAAGACGAAGACACAGACGCTGACGAAGTCATGGGCAATGGTGTCGCGGGGGTAAGGCAAGTAATGGGGAGTCAACCGGTTCCATATCAGCGCTTTGCTCAACAACGTCGCATTTTTTGATTCGTTTTTCGACACGCTGTTGCCATGCGCTCAACTTGCCTCGTAACGGACAGCGAGTCGCGTCGGATTGTCGAGAGTTGAATTTAGATGCCACAAGACAAGTGCAGCCGACAATTGCAGCATTCAGCTAAAAGCGAGCGACTGCAAGGCGAAGTACAGCATGTGCTGGCACTTTCTTATGCTGAACAAAGATTATCAAGCAATAGATTGAGCGTAGCTCGAGAACACAATTCACTGGAACTGATAAGATAATTCGCAAAAATTTTAGACGCGTATGAGTCAGCAGTAAATTCTAGAAATGGCAAAACCATAAAAAAATGATGTATATACATATATATGCATGTATCGCGGGGGATATACATTTCACTCTAATCAGTTATTGCTAATTGTATTAGTTAATTTGCTATACTACGTATCATATGTCGACCTACCCGTCCCATCATGTCGCGGAATACGACAACGAAATCCTCCATCATGTCACCAGCGACTGCCATCTGATGTATGTTGTGGTAATCGACTGGCAAATTGTATTGGTAGGTATTGTTTCGAAACATTTTGACCAAGTTTTCTTTGATTTTATGGTAACACTCTGCTCATCAATGACACCCACTGCGGGTGTGTGTGTGAGGATTAAGTCACAGTTATGTGTAAATCTCGTTACAACGTTTCCGTTGGCCAATTTCCGTTTTATAATTGCGGTTCGCGAGTGTGTTAATGTGCAGCACAGCGGGCTTTCACTATTTGTTGCAGACTGTTTCAAACAGCTGCAAACTTTCACTAGTAACTCGCGTTAGCGGTTACAAATTTCTTATTTAATTAATATTTGGTGTGAGTATAACGGAATTCCGACTTTGCTTGATTCGTACACAGAAAACACGACGCTTGGTTAAAATTCGCGTTTGCCGTTACAACGAAAGAACGCAGAGCAGTTAATCCGCTTCAGTAGAGTTATATAATAATCGCTGAGAAGAGCGAATGGAATAACAAAGCGCGCACAACCTACGCGTGAGCCAGCTGCCACAAGACTGAGAGCTTTTGCGCTCAACACACCGATCGTAGCACCAGGCGTCGCTGCCAGCGTCGCACAAAGTGCAAGTCGTCGCGACGCGCTGCTCGTGCTCGGTATCGTTTTAATCGAACAGCTGTGGCGCGTGGCTCTCTCTCTCCCCGCTCTTCAGAGTCTGCTGCTGGTAAGCTGAGCACAAATGGTAAAGCCACCTAACGTCAGTCACCCAAACACAGTCTGTCACCCATCCTCTCCTCTCTCTTTCAGCACAACCAATGTCAATTTGTCACCCACAAAAGCAACTAAACAGAGAAACACAATGGAAGAGAGCTAAATGAACTAAACTATATTGTTCCACCGACTTATTGAATTGTTTACTGGTTTCTTTTCGTTATTCGCATATTTAGCCAGTTCCCGCCGATTTCACACTTAATCAGGGGCGCACACGAAAGATTTGATGGCAGACGCCTTTGCTGATAGCCACATGACGAGCGTATGACTCTCTGTCAACCCGGACTATTGCGTATTAGCGGACCAAAATGTTTACAGCTAGTTTTCAGCACGATTGCGATTTATCTACTGCAATGGAAATTTTACAGATTACATTACTACGTCACAGATGCTAGGGAGGTCTAATGGGGAAAATGTTTGCACTAAAATTAATAAACAGGTGCAAAGTGCTGCAACTAAAACCAAACTCTAAAGCATAGTTGCTTCGCCAGGGCGTAGTTAAACAAAAGAAGATAAATATATTCTATGTTAAACTATTTCGAGTTATAGAAGCTGTTTTCCTTTCGTCCTTCAGATATAAATGCAAATGACATGTACTATGACTGTAGCATAATTACAAAAAAATAGGTTTGCTTTAATTACTTTTGTTATTTTTTGTTCCACAGCATTATATAGAATTAGATATATTTCAAATATAGACATTTAAAACTTTAAAAAATAATGACAATTTAGATAGAGGGTCAAAAACAGATTAAAATAAAAATTTATAAGAGTTGATTTCGCAAAGAACTGCAAAAGAACTCAAATTTTGTATATAGGAAGAACTAAACACTGTACGAAAAATTTCGAAGATCACGATTAATTTTCAATTAAAAAATTTATTGTTTTTTTTTTTTTTTTCTATGACTGTCTTTGCACAGTCAACTTTGAATTGATCTGCAATAGCTCTCAATTAATTTATATAGTAGAAATGTAAGCAATTGCATTGTTTATCTCTTGTTAGATGAAACAGATACAGATCTATGGCATATGGCTTAGAAACCAAACAATTGAAATTGACTGCTGAGGAAATTAATAAATTGCAAAAGTTCATAAATTTTGTAATAATAGATTCTCTATATTGTGCTCTAAATATAGAGAACACCTCATAGGGCTGATTAAGCACCTTGAAAAACATATGGACCTAAAAATATATTTTTTTTTTTTTTTTTTTTTGTGCGATTGCCAGACACGCGACGACTTTTAAAGCCATAGACTTAAATCAACAACGGAACTATTTATAATACATACACAATTATAGCGTAAATATTTTGCTCAAAAGCCAAACGACATAGTAAATACCCTTATCAGAAATACGCTCAATACTCTTCGATTGCTGTGGAATTTTTTATAAGTATGTATATATGAGTTTCCACAGCAATTATTTTAATTAACTTTCTAGGGTATTCGGGCTGTACGCCTTAGATTTTGCTAAATACAAATGTCAAGATAAGCTTAATTCTGGCTGCTCATTAAATATAAAAAAAAAGCCACTGCGTAGCAACCAAGAACCGGACTGTGCAGATCCAGCTCCTATCTATCTCCTCCTATGGCGCAGTCTCTGTTGCCAGACAGGTACGAATACCACAATGGCCTGTTTAAACTGGTTGACCTTAAGAGTCAAACAAAGCGGGCAATAAACTGCAGCAGACAGTCAAGTGAAAATAAACACAGCATTGGGGGATTTTAACATCCAATATTACTTATGTAAAAGTTCTGGAGAATGTACTAGCTCAATGAAGGCAGCTTAGCAAATGGAAAATCATAACCACTTGATTTCAATTATTTATATATTATAGAGAGTAGAAATAAAATACTCGACTGCCAATGCAAGCAAAATCAACAAAATACATGTAAACAAAATGATTACGCAGAAAGCAATGTCATTTAAATGGATTACCCTCGCTCGACTCATAAACAAACGCAAGAGCAGCCAGCTCATCATATAAGAGTGAAACTGACTGATAAGCGCATGATAAAAGATCATTTGACAGCGAGTCCAGACGCGATCATTAAAAGCTAGTCAAAAGCTTTAACTAAATGATGAAATGTGCCCCCTTCTTACGTCAGCCAATTGGAAAAAGAGTGAAAGAGAAAAAGAGCGTGCGTAAATGTCAAAGAGAGTGGCGGAGCTTTTACCAGAGCTTTTTACTCTTTTTTGCTCTGACCTCCAAAGATACAAGTGCTCATTGGGTCAACAGGGAGCTGCCATGACTGAGTTTTGAATGTCAATAGTTGCTGATATGAGCGAACGAGTGAGGGCCATTCGAGGTGAAAGGAAGAGGAAATGCTGATATGTTTGTGAGTGTATGAATATGAGAAAGAGATGTGTTTGTGCCCTTTAGCGTCTACTTATTTATGTACGACTATTAGGAATAATTTTATGTTTAATTGTAATTAGATAACTTTGACGATATGTACCTTCAAGTCTTCCTCAGTTAGTCAGGAGTGATGTGTATGCAGGAACTACATTTTAAAGCATTATAGTACACATATATGTTTGGTATGTAGGTAAGTTTTTTTTTTTTTTTTTTTTTTTTTTTTGTATAGACGCATATTAACGAAACGAGGAGGGTAAAAAGGTTTAACGATTAGTTTCAAATGCAATACGATAAGATAAACAGCTAAATAAATGTGTCTAAGTGTCTAGACAACGGAGCACAGCAAAGTACAAATTGGCATTGGCTGTAAATGGAAATTGAGCCAAGTTTGCACTAGATCAGCTTACAATATAAACACTGACAGCTGCCTGCGCATACCTTTTCGCCGCTTTCCTTTTCCATAGCCAAACCAAATCCATATAAAGCGATAAATGCTTACACTATTCAATTACTAGCAGCTACAGTACAAACTAAATGAGACGAACGAGCCCCTTCACTTACAGTAGAGTGCCGCCAAAATTTAATCAGATCATGAATGTCCGTCGAGGGCGCCAGTAGCATAAAGTCGCGCCACTCGTTAAAGCTTATGTTTAGGCTACCATCCTTGTCCATTCTGTGAGAAGAATCGTCATGAATATTTATGAATATAACTTAAGAACAAGAGTGCCAACCTGCCAAGCAGTTTTGTAGCCTCGTCAACGTCAATGTCCAGGCCAAGGTCTTTGAACGCAGATATCAGCTCCTCCAAGTCCACTTTGCCTGTGAAACAAAATTGAATATCATATATATAATATAGATAGATTGTCAAGCCAAGTTACCATCCCGATTTTTGTCCAAGTGCGAGAACTGCAGACATAAATTCTTCTCATGCTCTCGCACATAATGAAGAAATTCAGCGAAACCCACATTCCCGCTTTGGTCCTTGTCCGATTGTTGCAGGAATTTCTATACAAAATCAAACAATAAAGCCCATTAATAACTTAAAAATAACTCAAAGCAAAGCAAACAATTGCCAAATTATACACGCGTGACCCAGTTAGTTGGCATCTGCACTGCTTAACCTTGGCCTCCGACAATTGTCGAAAAAGATGAAAAACAACTGCAGCCCATTTGCCAAAATCAATAGAATCAAATAATACGCGGATCTGCTGAGGCATTATGCATATTTCTTCTGGTTGAAGCCATAAAAATATGTCACCCAGAGGCCAATTATGCAAAATTTCATTACATGTTTATGCACATCAGATATGGCGCTCTCGACACTCAGACAAACAGACGGACTATGAGGTGTGCAAAGATCAGAATGTTGTTGGCAACAACAGAAGATTCACAAAGTATTTCTCAATGAATAATTAATGCAAAGGCGTGTTTGATGATGCTAAGCAGCTGCAAGAGATAATTCGCAGTAGGAAAATGTTGTGATGGCAAACCCACCAGGTGATTACGCCATCATCTCTCACTCACCACCGCGTAGACACTGGAGAGTCCAAACTCGTGCAGGGCCGCTGACAGGTCTTGTATGTCGATTTTGCCATCGCCGTCGCGATCCAGTTGGTTGAAGATCCGCTCGAGCCGCTCCTCGTCCTCAGCAGGTATCTCATTGGGCATGATGGAGAGTGGCACGCCCGACACGGCCAATGCCACCGTACTCTGTGGTGGGACAGTGTCGAGATTGTAGGGCGTCGTTGGGACAAGATGCGCATGTTGCAGGTGCAGCTTGTGCAAACTCTCATAGTTTGGACAGTTCGCTGAGTTTATGGGCGCATAGGTGGCAGTTGCCTGGCGAGCAAAGTTGAAATCGTTTTTTGGCTCCTCCGGTGTCAAATCGATATCAAGGCGTTGCGTTTGCTCAGCTTGATGATGATGATGATGATGGTCTTGATGTTGCTGTTGATGCTGCTGCTGGTGCTTCTTCTCCGGCTGCTGCTCAGACTGCTGACTTAATACTAAGGACGCGTTGTTTTCTAAACCGACTTGCTTTTTAACCATTCTCCAGACTCGTCTAAACGTTTGTTCAAGTATTTGTACTTGCTTTTGCAGACGCTGTCCTCAAATGCAGTAAGAGTACTTCTTATCTTTTGTTTTGGTTTTGATTGTCTTTTTTTGTCAGGTCCCTAGGAATACCCGACAAACCTTTCACTTTAGATATATATAGATATTCGAACGGTCGTCTATTCCTATGGCTGAAACATTTTGATTCTGGGCTCGGTAACGTTTTCTAGATAAAAACACAACTGAACTGAAAACTGATGGGCCGTTGTGTAGCGGGGCGTGGCGTCGCACTTTCTATAATGTCTATAAATAAAGAAATTGAAATTTTTTGCTTATTCACATAATATAGATTAAACAAAATATATATAAAAGTACATATGTATATATGTGCGCTTGAACGTTTATTCTAAAGTAAACAAAGAAAAATGAATCCCAGTCAAGCATAAAATCTATTACAAATGTGTTTATTTCCCCCCGCGCAGCGAATCAGCTGCGAGCCTCGCACCCAAATCGGTGCCATGAAAATGAAGTCATTCGTGGATGAGCCCACTTTCACTAAATTTAAACAGAATCGAGGCGGCTGCTGCTGCTGATTGAAGGCTGGACAGTCGCGACTGCTAGTGAATCATTAATTTTATGAATTTTTATTTCTTTCACAGTTAAAAGGCCAAATCGGAAGTTCTGTAGGTGAAGCCTTGAAAATTGACAACTCCCAACCCAAAACCAGGAGAGCGGGTGGGTGGAGGTACGATGCTGGAACTTTCTTTCTATGTGTGTGTGTGTAAGATACTCTGCTGCTGCTGGTAATACAACTACATCTACACTCATTTAAACAGATTGGCCTTCAGTTCTTTGTTGTATAGCACGAGTCTCAAATTTCATGTTAAGTTTTTTTCTTCTATTTGCCAAATTGGCAAAATTAAATTTCTGCGTACGCGTTTCTATGCACACAATCACACTCACACATACACACACGCACAAGCAAGCACGCTGAAATGCTAATAAAAACTCGCTACTTTCTTGCGGGGCTGCAGCGGTTGGCGACTTTTTACCTAAGTTGTTAATTTTATAAAATTAATGTATATTTATGAAAAACTGTAAAATTTAATGATTGAATTCACTTTGGCTCCTAATTAACCGAATAAACTGCGCGCACTGCCAACTCGTATGTCGTGACACACGATAAAACGATAAAAACGCGTCCACTCAGTTTGTTCAAACGAAAAAGAATGAAAGAAAAGAGAAATCATTACAGAAAGTTTCGTGTATTGTATCGATATATCGATATGTGTATAATGATATCTAGTTTCCAACATACGAACTATATCGGTATCGCTATTTGTAATTTCAATTCTAATTCAAATTCCCCCACTTTAACATCAATAATAAAAATAAATGTTTGATTCACATGTATATATATTTTTGCATATTAATTCGCTTTGTATTATTTCTATTCAAAATTGGTCTAACCTGTAAAAATAATGGAAATTATGACTGCTCTTCGTTGGAAATCGGTAAAAAGAGGTTGGAACATAATATTCGTAAATTTACATTAAATGCGCCCACGAATAAGCTAAAGTTTCTTTAACAAAAAGATGACAACAATAAAAAATAATACAAAACAAATCAGGTTATCTGACAATACACTTCAATAATGGTTTACTTCTATTTGCTAATTCATTAACAAATTCCATGCATCATCCTCGGCGCTCGCTTTACCAGTCGACGAAGCAGCTGTCTTGGCTTTCACATTCTTCACATCCAGATTATCGAAGCCTTCGCTTAATTTCTGCGAAGTCTCCTGTAGCTTCATATTTCGGCGAACGGGCTGACCGCCAGACGGTGTATTTTGATACGAAGTCTCGGAATTTTGATAATTTGTGGAATTGAAACCAGCCCAATCGTCGTCTTGGGTGAGGCCGCCAGTGCCTGTGCCGCCGGCATTGCTGCTAAGTTGATTCTGATATGAGCTGGAGCTAGTTAGATGCGTTTTATTATTGGCATTCTCTTGCCAACCACCCCAGTCGCTATCGCCAACACCACTCTGTTGTCCTAGGCCGCCGGCCAAGTTGCCGCCCACCGAATTGGAACGCTGATAGCCATTGTCGTCCAGACTGGGATCGTTGTAGCCGCCCTGAGACGCTGTGCTGTTGCCGCCCGCCAAGTTGTTCCAGCCACGTTTACTTATGTCAGTAACCTTTGGGGTTATAATAAGAATCAAGTTGTCAGTATATAGATATTTATACAAGTGTAATTAAAGCAAGGCACAGCCTTGTCTGGTGTCTACCGACCTTGTAGGCCACATCTGTAACCCCACTCTGAACCGATTCAAGCAGAGTGCCTTCTTTAATCTACAGCGAAAAATAAAACAAAACCAAAAACTCATACAAAATTAAACAAATAAATAAATAAAAAGTAACCAAACAAAGAACAGCTGTTACTTTTGCTTAACGAACCTTGGTCGAAGCCAAATTGACTGTGGTTACGGCCTTTTCCTTAGCAGTGTTTGCCAATTTGGACGCATTTGTGGAGAACAAATTCCAGCCGGATGCCAAAGTGGTCAGCGTGGAGTCTATCAGCTCCTGAGATTGTGTCTTCGGTGGCGGATCACGTGTGAAACCAAATCCAGCATATTTTCCGCCCTGATTTGGTGGCAAGTTTCTGTATAAATAATCAAATCGTTAGCTCTTCAGATATAAATAGTAAATAAGAGCCTACTCTGGCCGAGATGCATTCTCCATTTGACGACGGTTGAAGAACTCTTCCTTCTGATCTTTGAACTCTTGTGTCTGGAACTGCTGATAGCCACCAGCATCGTTGTAAGCGCCTCCACCATTCTGATAGCCTCCGCCGCTGCCATTGCCACTGTAACCTGTTGCATTAGTGCGGCCCTGTGAGCTGCTGTTGGAGCCACTGCCACTGTAGCTGTTAGAACTATACGAAGAGTTAGTGCTGCTCAAGCGTGCCTCGGCATCCTTTTGATTCCAACTCTTGCCCTGAGCCAGAGTTGAAATTTTATCTCGATACAGAGCAGCTGCCTTGGAATTGTATCGTTGCGTTATGGGCGCGCGTTCGTTCCAATCTTCCTGATCCTCTAGAAATTCGCGGGCATTCCGATTACCGCCCACCTTCATCTTCTCCAGCTCGATGTCCTTCCATTTGTCCATGGTTACGGAGCGCACAAATGAGAGATGAACACCCAAGCTGCGATGCTTGCCCGAACACTCCAGACATATCCAAATGCCATAGGTAACCGACACCCATTGCGGATTGTGAGTGCCACACTCGAAGCATTTCTGCAAAACCATATAAATTCATTTGGAGACACGTCAAAACCTGTTCAATATGTAATTTTCTTTCGAAATGTGTATCTGGGTTAGCCTTACCGAATTCTCGTCTTGGGGCTTCAGCTCTTGCAGCACTCGTCGCGTTCGTGGGCTAGCCATGATTGTGGATTAAGTAGCGTCTTTAAACTGATTTTTACACCGCGTTGCCTCCACAGTTGATATCAAAGATTTTTGCTGACGTTGACGTTGGTTGAAATCGTTAGATTGCGATTGTGCCACATTCATGTAAGTTGGAACTACAAGGAGCTAACTCTGATTAGTTTCAATTAAATTAACACATCTAATCAATTTGTGCATTAGTTTCTTTCGCCTTTATTGCAGTCATAAAAGTTAATTGCAAACAAAAAAAAAAATATTAATACAGAGTTCCACTTGGAATGCTCATTGTAAGTGTGGCTGACTCAAGGAACTGCAAAAATGCACAAAGAAAATGGAAAAGTTGCGTTTTATTCGTTACCTACTGTGTGTATTTAATTTAAAATAACAGCAATTTAAATAGAAAACTATTTTAAATTTATTTATATTACATAATGTTAAAATTCGGCTTAGTTAAAATTAAGCTTGTTATGCTAAAAAACTTAATAATTTGCCAAATGAAAATATAATAAAAAATACCAAAACTAATATCAAGCAAGAAGACATAAAATATTTGTGGCAACACTGAAAACTTAACGTGTTTCCACTACGATTTATTTTGCTGACATGAATGTTGCCTTCGCGATAACATTAAATATAAAAAAAATACTATATGTAAACTATGTGCATCCATAGATACATATGTAAATACAAATGTTATTATGCATATACGTAAATATATAACGTATACGTAACCAACTTATTTTAATATGAATTATTATTACCAATTCTCCAAAATAACGACAATGGCAAATACATACATATACCAACACATTCCTATATGTTTAAGTATTAAGCTCGCATTTGAAATCAATTGTAAACTGAATTTTCCTTTGCATACCTTTTCGCTCAGTACTCGAACAAATTTAATTAATTATTCTTCAATTTTGGTATATGTAAAGGTTGTGTTACTTTACAAATTATAACTAATCATGCTGATCTGATTTTCATATTAATTTCATTCATCTTCTTCCGACTCAACGCACACATTCCGCCTCGTCATGCCGAAAGTTAATGAAAACAGAGATTTATCACACTCCTAACAATAATCAATCCCACTGTCGGTAAACAAAAAACACTGGAATTACATGAGCGATTCCAATAACAAATGAGCCGTGTGTGGTCCCGTTGTTGGAAATCCAACCAGCAGCTATGGCGCCGGGAGCAGCAATTTCCTTCGCTATTAGACACAGATGCTTACCGTTGGAATGAATGAGAGAGGAACAAAGGAGAAAGGGAATTAACAGAGCAGTAAATCAATGTGAATATGAATGCGCAATATTTTGGCCATTCATTGAAGTATTTAGGAAGGTTTTGAAACCGCGCAATGGCAATCGATTGCAATTTATTTTTAATTTTAGTTAAATAATGCAATTACATGAGTGATTCGAATATAAACGGAGCGTGTGTGGTCAGCACACTCTGGAAAGCCGCCAGCTATGGCGCCGGCAGCAGTAATTTCCAATGGAATTACCTACAGATGCTTAGAGCTAAGTAAGAGTGGGAGAGAGAGAGCTGCATGCAGACAGCCATAATTCAATTGGAGCATTAGCATATAATTATGCACAATATTTTTGCCATTCAGCCGGTGAGATGGGAATCTGGAAAGTCAGTGGAGCCGCGCCCAGGCAATCGATGGATGCACTGCCCACCGTTAATTCCTTTTCAATTTTAAAACCTGCGCATTTATTTAAGTCAGCGCATTGCTATAATTTGCGTCACCATCTCGCACGCCCCCTTGCGCAAACCATGGGCGCTGGTGTGGGCGTGGCAGTGGCTCTGTGGTATAATTGGGCAGGCGAGCAAAGGATGTGTTGAATTGAAATGCCTGCCGGGTAATCCGATCGACCACTGACCGCGGCCTAAGTTATGACGCATGCCCGCTAAGTGAGCGCAAGTTGGCTCGGCTCCACACCACTGGTCACCCGACGCTTTCAACAACTACTGCGGAGCCAGAGTCTCGGTGGCCCGTGGTTGCTGGTGGTCTTATCAGAAGCCGTTGCTTGCAGCCCGATCTGCCAGAAATGGCATTGCTGCGCATCCATTATACGCGGCTCTGTCACTGCCCGGCCGGGACCTGGTGTGGGGCACGCCTCGTGGTCGTTGCCACTGGGCATTTTGCACCAGCTTCGGCCAGGCTCTGAGTTATAGTGTGGATATGATCAAATTATAGGCTTAGCCATTGCATTAAATTCGCATAGACGTCGATGCCAAATGGTCAATGTGGACCTGGAGCTTGGCTAAGCATGTGCGTCCCATCTTCCATTCCCTGCATCCGGTCCAATTGTGCGACTCATACTTCATTTGCAGCGCAGCATTCACTAATCAGCAGCTGTCTCCAATGTGCCATGCGAACGCGATCTATATAAATAGAGTGAGAGAGAGAATGAAGGCAGAGAAAGCGAAAGAGAGAGAGAGAGCGAGAGAGAGAAGCAAACGAAAAGGTATGTAAATGAGTTTCAGCTCAGTTCGCACGCCGCTGCCATAAAGTCTGCTCAGGCACACAGATGTCTCCCCCTCCGCTCCCCTCTCTATCACTATCTCCCTCGCTTACTCCTCTCTGCCTTGTCCCTAAATAAAACACATGCAAATAAAATAAAATCGTTGAAAATTGCACCAATTAAGTGGGCAATGTGTTGGCGAATCCTTGTGGCATTTATCAGCGATATTAAAGCGTTAAGTGAATTACTTATTCTCTCTCACTCTCAGCGACAGCAAGGCGAAGCCAAGTCAGGCAGCGCAATGCGTTACCTTTCATGTCTACCTGTCCTACCTGGCCAATTCCGTGTTCTTTCGCATCGTGCTAAAGTATAAATGTGTGCGATAGCCGCGATGTTGCATGCGACAATTATATCCACTGAGGCGACGCCAGTTTGGCTCCCGCTCCCATACGCCATGCACCATACAAGAGTTGGGGGCATTTGAAGCTGCCGCAAGAGCAAGACTCAAGGATGATATTTACACTTACAGCAGAGTCACACTCACCGTTGGAATGGGAATTCGAATTGGAGTTGGAATTGGAGTTGCAGTTGGAGCTGCAGTTGGGGTCGGAGACAGCAGCTACTGCTGCCGGTTGACCAGTTCCCATTTCCATTTCCACTGCCGCCTTTGCCGATCGTTTGCTGATCGATTTTCAATCGATCGGCAGCATCATGCAACCGCGCACAGCCCCAACCACGGCCACAGGTCTGTGCAAAGCAGACAACAACAACAACAACAACGAAGACAACGACAACGACGACGACGATTCAGCGTCAGCTCCTTAGTTCAACAAATCGTGCCAAATAACACAACATAATGACAACAAAGCCGACGACAGGAGCGACGACGTCCTCCACTTGTCTGGTTAGCTCTGGAGTAAGGCTAAGGCAGTCGGTGATTGCCATTTCAAGATGTTGCCATACACACACACTCACACACACACACATATGCTAGCACACATGCACATGTGAGGATCGCAAAAATTAAGAGATATTTATAATAAGCACGAAAACCACTTAATACTAACGCCTTTGGCAATTAAGAGCCACAGCTATGGCAAGGATGCAGTCAGAGACATTCCAATGCGCGAATAGCCCAGTTCTTGTACTTTCCATATCATATACATATATCTGCGTACATATGTATATGTATATCTGTAGACATTTATAAATATGTCAAATCAAAATCTGTTCCTGGTTTCTGGAGATGATCATTGGGGACGTATTTTTATGTGATGTTAATTTCATAACAACTTCAATGGACTTTGTTGATCTAAAATAGCCGATGCCTTGTCTTTAGCTATACTCAAAAAATGTTTAGAATAGATGTATGGATAGCTGAAGGGTTCTAGTTCTCTTGCTGACAAAGATTTAACAGAAATCTCTTAAGTACCCTATTCTAGAATGGAATATCTGACCGAACTTGTTGAGAGTCTTAGAAGACAACATCTAAGGAACCTAAGGATTATGAATATTTTCAAATCTAAAAGAGATGATCGGAATTAAGGATACTGCTAGATAAGAAAGATAACTAAATAGTCAGACCTTTATGGACATTAATGAAAATTCTAATTACAAAAAGCTAAAATTCAGCTAAGACTAAACTGGACTACATCGTGCAACTACCACAAACGAAAGTTGCAGAGTAAAATAGACAATTGATTAAACTGTTTTTCCTCTATAGTCTTATATATGTATATAGCACCCGCCAACCAAGTAGGCCACATCGGACAGCCACTGTAGTCGCACGCTTTATAGTTCAGTGTGCTCCATACACAATATATAGATACACACATGTATTTATATACATATAGATTCATGAATCTGGGCAGCGCACAATGCTTTTCAGCGACTCATCAAAAGCCGCAGGTATTTAAATTTCATGGATTTAATTGTTTTCAGTCTCTGGATGGTGCAAGAGGTCTCTTTCATTTTTGTTTTTTATTTCAATTTCGTTTCTTTCTTCGGCGCTGGCTGGATTCGCGTCGAGCTGGTGAAGTTGACGCCTTCGGTGGCTCATTACAATCAATAATAGCAGCTGGCGCTGTGGCTTCAATTGATTCTTTCTTTCAATAGGAACGCGGTCGGACAGTAAATGGAATGAAGTGAAATGAATAACTGTTAGGGAGTCGGGCATGTCTTGTTTTTTTTTTTTTTTTTTTTGGAGCCAGAAGCGAAGCTCGGAGCTGTGGCTCGCTTAAGCGAACGATTATACAAGTGGTTTTCTGATTTGACAGGCGTTAAATTAAAATTTAATTCGGCCATCTATATAATTATAGTGATCCATCCGAGCATACACATTGACGGCGACAACGAGGCCGGTGACGTCGACGACTTCTCAGCGCATGTAATTAAAGCCACATTAATCATCCAGGCCCAGAGCCGGGTCCGCGAGCCCAGACCCAGACCCTGGCCCAAACACCAAGCACCAAACACCAAACACATTCGCAGCCACTTGAGCCTCCGACTCAGAGCCTCTGTATTTGTATTTATATTTGTAGCCGTAGCCGTAGCAGTTGGCTGCTGTAGCTGGTGGCTGAAGCTGAAGCTGAAGCTGTTGCTGTTGACTCCGTCTTGGTAGCCACAAAATTGTCAGATTTGTCCACTTGAGTTATTTTTGAATGCGCGTCGAGCTCCCTCACTCGCACGCTCAGTCGTTCCTCACCTCTCCTCTTCGCTCTTTCCCTCTCTCACTCTCTCTCTCTCTCTCTCTCTCGCACGTCAATGGGTGTCAACTGCTGAATTCCCGACCAATTATACGAAACCCGTGAGAATTTCACAAATTCTATATATGTGCATACATGTAGAAATAAAATGTTATACATATACGAGGTATATGGATTTATTAATAGATCAATAGATTTGAGCCTGAGTCATCTGTCGATCTCTTTTTTACTCCCTCGATCTCCTTCACTCCTTCGTTCTCTCAATATTTTAGTCTGGCGACCTCTCTCTCTTAGTATGCCTCTCTCTGTTAAATTACCTCTCTCTCTCTCTCAGTCTCTCCATCTCCCTCTCATTCTCTCACTCTGTCTTTCTTACTCTCTCACTTACTCTCTGTTTCTATTTAAATATTTATATATAAAAGTATACATATTTCGATATATATATATTCTCTCTCTCTCTCTTTCTCTCCCTCTCCCTCTCCCTCTCTATCGGTCTCTCTCACCCATAGACACCCCGACCAATTATACGATCAACTCTTATATATTGTCTTATACATATACGAGATATAACGATATATCGTATATATCGATTCCGTCTTTATTTGTACTCAGCACGTGTTTTGGAATGCAAAATTGAATAAATTAAGTTAAAAATTGCACTAAATTGTCGTCTTAAAGCGATAGGAAACTGACAAATTCAAATCCAAATCCAAATTCATAGACATGCATGATTCATAGATTGGGATTACATATAGGCATATGTATATGCAGGTATGTATGTATGTATCTAGTTCTGGAATAACAACATGTTGATTGCACTCTTTAATTAGCCTCCGATTCCGCTTCCGTCTCTGCATCCACATTGATTTCCTCGTCCAGTTCCGATTGCGGCTCCTTGGGCGGTAATCCTCCCATTTGCCGCCAGATGTACTGGCGGGCAAAGTTGAGCGCAAATGCAGCTGCCGACGCCGAGGCGGAGGCCGAGGCCGATGCCGATGCCGAGCCAGAGGGCAGGGCCGCTCGAAAGGCGCTATGCTCACCGCCCATTAATAATGGAACTGATGCTGTGATTGAGGCAGGCGGCGGCGCTGTTGCTGTCAGTGGGTCGGGGCCGTGGCCCGTAGGGCTTCTGCTGGTGTGGGTGGTGGTGGTGGTGGTGATGACTGGCACGCTGTGGGTGGTGCTGCTGCTGTTGTTGCCCTCGGTTTGGTAAGCACTGGAACGGGTAGCATATTGTAGGCTGGGCTCCTGCTGCGTTGGAGCTGGTGTGGGCGATGTCGACGTTGAGCCGCGCTGTTTCAGCAAATTGACCCGCTGATGACGCCGCCATTTCGCTCGTCTGTTGGAAAACCAAACCTAATTGATCAATCAACGGAGAGATAATTTGTTAGTTGATAAAAAAAGGAGCAAACGCGTCTGTGTGTCCATGTCAATGTGTGTGTGTATGTGTGTGCGTGTGCGTGTGTGTGTGTGTGGTTAGTAGGGCAACAAAACAATAGAATAATCGGGCACAGTCCATTGTACACGGCATTCGTGCAAGACGGAACTCACCTGCACCCGCGCCTCACTCAGTCCCGTGCGTGCCGCCAGCTTCTCGCGAGTGCCCACGCAGGGGTAGTGCGACTTCTCGAACTCCTTCTCCAGCTCGTCCAGCTGCTCGGCGCTGAACGTTGTGCGATTGCGCCGGAACTTCGGCTGGTCACTGTCCTCCGAGTCGCTGTCCTCGCCCTCAATGTCTGCAAAGGCAGAGATGATCACTCTAGAGATCATCCAGATTGAGAAGGAATTCTGGACTCACCGATCAAGCGATTGGCATCCACGTCGGGTGAGCGACTGTCCCGGCTGCCCGACTCCGGCGACAGCGCTGGCAACGACAAGCGTCCACTGCCCGCGCTGCTGCCGCCTCCTGCGCTGATGCTGTTGTTGTTGGTATTCGGATTGGAGCTGCCGTCGCTGTTGTAGCTGCTGCTGCCGGGCAAGGCGCCGCTGGCGGCCAACGGCACGGCGCCCCACAACGGATGATGGCCCGGCAACGTGGCCGGCCAGGTGGGAAAGCTCGTGTACGGATGCGAGTGCGGATGCGTGGGGTGCAGTGCATAGCCATAGCTAGCAGCTCGAGCGAACTCCGCGGCGGCGCGCTCGGCGGCCCGATTGCGCAGGATGCGATTGATGCTGCTCACCGAGGGCGCAGTGGCATTCGTGCAAACACCTGAGCAGCAGAGAGAAAGAGAGAGAGAGCGATAGAGAGAAGGGGAACTATTATACAGAGTTGTTTGGCGCCGGATGCGGCGCTGCAGTGCGTCGTGACCTGCTCATGAACCCAAATACCGGCTGACGCAAATTAGATTGACTGTAATGAGCAGACCAGTTGCGAGCTGCGATTGCGATCTACATTTCGAGTAGCCAGTAGCCAGCAGTCAGTAGTCAGCAGTCAGTCGCGGCCAGAGTGGTCTTTGTGTGTGTTCGAACGTCTCATGTGAGCGATGGCAATCGGACGATTCATCGCACAGAGAGCGAGCGATTGACAGACGGAGCACCGAGCACCGAGCACCGATCACCGAGCGCCAAGAGCCGAGAGTCGAGAGTCGAGCCGAACTGGTGCGGCGGGTAGCTGCGGTGTATTCAACGTTGAGTGACACAAATGTGAGCACATTTACATATCAATTGACTCTGGCCAGGAGCGGATGTTCATAAATTAGCCAATCGATAAATCTCCCTCTCCCACAGAGACCCAGCAGACACACACACACACACACACACACACCACACACACAAATCGCGTTCGCTTACAACATTAAATGAGGCTGCAACCACAAAACTTTTAAGGAACGCAGCTCTTTTGTTGGCTAATTCGCATTACGAGCTCGAGTACTGACAGCCGCACCATAAACACATCAAGCCGATGCTGTCAGCTGCTCAAGGAGCTCTAGATGGCACTGAGTTCAGCGTGGAGCTGGAGCTGCGCGTAACCCTATGCCCGCCCAGACGCACTCGGACCAGTCATTCATTGATGCTGCAGCTTGTCAATGCCTGCTGCAATTTCGCTTTTGGGGGGGCTGCCATCAGTTCATTTTAATTAGCTCAACTGAGTCTGTGTGTGGACTGTTACCTGATCTCGGCTACCTGGCCAATTGCCCAACTGTGTGCTGGCATGGCCAATGCATTGTTCCCCGCCTTTGGGTACTCACCTTCGCTAATCAGTCTCTCGCGTATTTCCCACGCGAATATCGTTGGGTTCTCGCGTTTGTACTGCTCGATCTTGGAGACAACTGTCGGCGTGGCCACCTTTGGCTTCGAGCCACCAATCAGTCCAGGCGGACGCAATGTGCCTGCAATGTACAAGAAGAGGAAGAACAAGAACATTAACTAAACCTCTAAACCTTTTTTATTTCTGTATGCTAAATTATACTATCACATGTTGAGCTCTGCCTTGGGGCTACTGGCATAATTTTCACATTATCAAGCTGGGGGCTCGTGTGGGCGTTCGAATCGGTCAAAAAGCCCGCCGGCTGCCAACACAATGCGTACTACCTGCTGCCAACTGCCGCCGACTGACGACGACCTAACTAGACAATTGAAGGCGCGTTCCCCCATTCAATGGCGCGCTAATTTGAATATTTGGCTACGACACAATTGTACAACTCGCACAACAACAACAACAACAATGGCAGCATCAKCATCCGAGCAGCTTCTCGTTGATAATTTGTCGGAAGCGAGTGACAGGCGCACGCTGTTTATCTTGTGAATTAGGCGTTAGGAAATAAGGGGTCACACCTAGAGAAAAAACCTATTATGATTTTATAAATATGTACGGATAAATAGCGATACATAAATAATATATTAAACCTTAGGAGAAAGATTAAGAGAAAAGGTGAGTGTTATTTTAGAATAAAATATATGAAGAACCAAAGGCAGACAGATAGAAAGAGAGAGAGAGAGAGACAGAGAGGGGCAGAGAGAGAGAGAGAGCGAGAAAGAGTAAGAGAGAGAGAGATAAAAATGAGAGAATGAGAGAGAAAAATAAAAGTTAAATGAGGAAAGGGATGAATGGAGAATATTAACTTTCAAGGCGATCTGAAGAAAGTATCTATATCAATAAAATTAACCCACATGATGATTTTCGCTGACGATTTAAAATGATAGTTAACACGCATTTATACGCCAAATACATATACAAAACCAACACGATATAAATACTTAATAAGTGTAATTCAATCATTTTATGTCACTAACTTGCAGTTGACTCGATTGCCATACATTTGCGTTTCATTTCTCTCAGTGTAGTTAACAATAGTATGTATACCATACATTGATTGAGTACACATTGTCCGAGTGGCAAAAGGTACTCATACTCTATGCAGTTGCGCTTATGTATGTAAATTTAGGTTTGCAAAAAAAAAACTAGTAAAACGGAAATTATTTACACATTTACACAGCTTAAATTAACTAGCGACAAAGCCCCTGACACCGCCCTTTGTCTATTTAACAACTGTGAATGAATTATTGCCCTGGCGACTGCACACAGATCAGATAATTTGTGAGTGTGATTCAAAGACAACTCAATGAATGGCTGCGGTGAGCGAATTGAGCAGCGCATTCATTAGCTCGTATGGAGATCAAGGCAGAGGCATAGTCAGTAGATTCTCCAAAGATTTATGGTAATTAGCCTAGTCAAGTGGGATGCTCGTGCTAACAAAGGAAATTTGCTTGAGCTGAACAAATTGACGCTTCGATTTGGCTAACTGGAATAGGGTATTGCAGTTGGCCGCAGCGGAGTTCTGGGTAGCAACACCTGGCCTTTGTCACAGAGACTTAATCTATCCAAAGTTACAGCTAACCTCCCTCGGTCGAGTGCCCCCTTGGAATTTCGGTCTAGCTGACGCCAGGCGCGCAGAATTGCAATTTGGAGCGCAAAGAGTTGTGTGTGTGTGTGTAATTGGCAACAGGTGTGCGACGGCTCGTTGCTGAGCATTGGCTATTGGCCAGGTGTCGAGGCATTGGGCATGGTAAGGTGCAATCGATTTGTCGTGTATACGTGGCCGGCCAACTTGTCTCGCCGGGAGTTACAGTAGTTGACCAAATCGATTACAGACGCTTGAGCCCCTAATTCAGCGGGACACATGGCAATTGGATTTGGAGCGCGTGTTTTGTGGTTCCGCTCAATGTTGACGCTGATGTCGCTGATTGCATTGGTCAGGCCCTTACACCTAACCTAACCAACCACCCACCCACCTACCCACCCGTCGACACGCCCACATACTCACCCAGCAGCTTGGATACAGCGCCCTGTTGCGACAGCATATGTTGTGCCAAATCGTAGCCCCTCAGGCCGAACCTCGATAGTTCCAGTAGCCGATGCTGGGAGGCCAAAGCGCTGAGATTTGTGCCCGGAGGTGAGCTGCCCGCGTTGCCGAAGAGGCCCAACGTGGGAGCCGCTGGCACCGCTGTAGACGGGCAGTGGTTGTGCGTCAGAGCTGCAAGAAGAGAAGAGAAGAGAAGAGAGTGAGAAAGAGAGTCGGAGAATGTGAGTGTGAGTGAGAGGTGTGATCAAAATCATTAAATGTCAATTGGAATTTAAACGAAGCTGCTGCCAGAATTCCGCGCATGGCAGCCAAACACCAAGAAATTTGTAGTGCTCAAGTGGACCGCTCTGGACGGGGGAAGGAAGGGACTGACTGGCAGTAACAATGATTGGACAAATTTCGGTCTGTTTTTGATCGAACACGTCAAAGACTGAGGCGAAGACACAGCGCACAGACGACGACGAGTGCTACAAGCTTTGCCGTTTTGCTGGCGGAAGTGTCAACGTTTATGGTCATAATGGCGTGTCAAGTGGACGTGGTGTGGTCCATTACCGTCCCGTCCATGAATCAGTTTGGCACGGCCAACGATTGCAGTGGACTACTACCGACTGCCAACAGCTAATTTGAGCTGGAATTTATGAAATTCCTGATGTCTCCGCTGGCAATTTGTTGGGTTCGAGCATGGCCTGCTTCTTCGGGTAGCTGTACCGATTAGCAATTCCTCAGATGTAGAAGCTTTTATGTTCATTTTGACATTTTATCTGATCGCGAGAACTGCACACATTTTAACACCTCTGTTTTTATCCTCTGCTTTTTTTTTTTTTTTTGTATATATATATATTATTTTTGGCATGCCAGCACCGCTGCACCACTGCACCACTGCGTGTGCTCACAAGTTGCAACTTGGCTGCAGCAAATGATTTACTACCGATCTTAGCGAGCAATGCGACAGCTACGGCTGCCTCGACGCACCTCAGTCAATTGCAAAATCGGCTTAAAATCGCACGACTTGGCGCAGCTTGTAACAAGAAGCGACGCCGCAACAGAGCGAGAGAAAAGGAATGACAGATAGAGAGTGAGAAAGTGCGATAGAGAGAGAAACAGAGAGAGAGAGAGATGGAGAGAAAGAGGGAGAGCACAAGTGATGATCGCCTCGGAATTCAATTGATAGTTTGATTTATTGCTACCGGTAAAGTTTTTGCCGCAGCGGCTGCCAGCACTGCATATAAATTAAACTTGCCCGCTTTTTGTGTAGCCCTCACTAAGCGCTTTGCCCCACCACCAGATCCTCGCCTTGCCCTCTCTTTCGCTCCCTCCGTCTGTCTGTCTCTCTCTCTATCTCTACAGTTGCTGCTCGCTGATCTTGTTTGTCGCGCGCAGCACATTACTCGTTGGGGCTTCTGGTTTTTAATGCGTAATATTGTGATCTTCACACGTTTAGCTCGGCTAGCGAGCTCATCGACTTGCAATGAGATTTACCAGCCAGCTGGATTAATTAAAGCTTAATAACCAATAGAATTTATAAGCGTGTAAATTACTCGCACGAGGCGTTATTGAACATCTCCAAATTTTTATAAATCAAGTTTAAATTTGAATTGTCAAAGTAATATATTTTGTTCTGAAACATTGTAAAGTCCGTTTTAAATTTATGTATTCTCGTTGTGTTTATTTTTAAAGTATAATTTTTCAGCTTATATCTTTGTTGATCTAAATTGTAATTGTCATTAATCGCTCGATTTGGCATACTAATATTGACTTGCTATTTTTAAATTCAAAACACCTGCGCTCTTTGGGTAATTCTTATTTATCTTCATTATTTGTATATCCTATAGACGTAAATAGCTCATAGAATTAACAAAATATCTCCCAAGTGTTGTTATTCAGAGGCAGAATTATTCTGTAAAACACAGAAATGATAAACTCGATCAACATAATATGCATTTGCCCATTATCATTTAAACATATATCAATTAGGACTTGGAGAGTTTCTTAAGTAGATCCTTAGTAAGATTCAAATTAGTTTTTATTCTACACGATCCTTCCTGCGAAATTCCTAAATAGATCCCTAATAATATTAAGATCAAGCACTACTCTATTTCAATTCAAGTCTAATTTGTTGTTCGATACTTCCTCTTCTCATTTTCGCCTCAGCTACAGCTTGATGAACATGTATCAAAATCTTGTATCTCTTTCGATACATCACTCGGATTGATGACCATTGAGAGAGCCTCAAGGGTTGCTACAGCTAATTTCCGGTCAAGTGGCTTAGCGTAGTGCTTGCCAGCCACATAGCTCAAAGTCGGGTGACATAAATGGCATAAACATCATAACCAAGTGGATGGCACTCAACTGCGGGCCGTCATCATGAGCATCGGTTTAGCTGGGGCTATGTACACTTGAAAATCATTGTGCACACCTTTTATACGGTCGGCTTTCTAAGAATAATGCGAATACACGCATCAAGTAATTCGAAACCCTTAAGTATGGTTTCTGCCCAGTGCTTAAACATCAATGTATGCCATGTACCCATGCCCATGCCCATGCCCAGGCCCAGGCCCAGGCCGGTCGCAGCTAAAGAGTGTGTGTGTGTGTGTGTGTGTTGAGTGTGTGCCTTTGCTGGTTTTCCGTCTCTGTGCTCTTTTTATAATTATTTATTTATTGTGCAACTTCCAACACCTTTTAGAGACAAGTCAAAGCTTTGGCCTGCAACCACATTCGCTGCTACCCCGCCCCCCGCCCACTGCACCGCCGCTACCCGCAACCATCCAGCAGTTGGCAGTTGGTCGACGCCGACAGTGGCAGTCGCATCTCGACGTGGCCACTCGATGGCCGCTTTGGCCGCCGACATGAACTAATTTTATTTGACAACCCATACTTGTGCAAAACAAATTGCCACTGATGTGCGAAAGACCAAAACAGTTGGCAGTCAACTTATTGTTGTTGCTGTTGTTGTTCTTGTTGTAGTTGTTGCTGTTGTGAAATTTCCAAATCATTGCGCTTTTCCAATGGCCACGTCTCGGACTCAGACTCGGTCAGGAATTTTTAATTCGGGACTGTCGCCTGGACTTTGTATTTTTTTTTTTATTTTTTTTTTTTTTTTATATCCTTGATAATTCAGGGAATTGTTTGGACCAGCAAGGTGCTGAGCCGCGCAGGATTTGGCGAGCTTTTGCGGGGCAAGGGTCAAGCCAAGTGGAATTGTTAGACTCACCTGTGGGCGTGGGTAGAACGGCCGTTAGACTGGGAGTTGATGTTGCCGTCGGCTGCGCACCGCTGCCCGTTGCAATGCCTTTGTTGGCCGTGTTTTCCAAGCAGCCGCCCAGCAGGGGCAGATGGGGCACAGCTGCCATGCCCACGGGCAAGCCAGCCGCTATGCCCACGGGAGGCATGACTACTGTGGCGGTGGTGCAAGTGGGCGTGACGGTTGAATAATCGACGGCTGGCGCTTGAGCCGCTGTTGTGCTTTTGCTGGAGGTCCTTGTGGGGGCTGCTGTTGCCCCCGTTGTAGCCATGCCCCACTTGCACAACACTAACGCAAAATAGCACAGTAAACGCTTTTAGTTATCGATAACTTGTCTTTATCCTTAGTCAACCGATTATAAGTTTAGGATTATCTTGAATTCTGAGCGCGTGCTTAAGTATGTGCAATATTAATTTTTTTTTTTTTTTTAATTTCGGCTATAGTCAACTTTGACATGGGCCTTGCTTAACCGTCGGCCTTTTGAGCTCGTCTTGCGACACACTCACACAGACATGCATGCACACACAGTCAAACACGCTCGAGAGGAGCACAGAAAATTGAAACGAACGCGAACGGGCTACGTTCCCGTTCGACGCGCACTCACTCACGCTGTTGGCTGACGCCGACTGAGTCGACTGAGACTGAGACAGAAACTGACTCGGCGCGCTTGCTGCCTCTGCCTGCCTGCCTGCTTGCTTGCTTGCTTGCTCGCCTGCCTGCCTGCCTGTCTCTCTGCCGCAGCTGATCGGGGTCTGCTCTGTTACAGTTCAAGCTCTTCTTCTTCTTCTTTCTCGACTGTTGTTGCCTCGTCTTCTTCTTCCAGCGTCGCTGTTGCTTTGCTTGTAGCTGTGGCTGCCATCGAGCGAGCATTGGGGCTCTGCTTGTTTTACTCGTTTTCGCACGTGTGTAAGTGAGTGAGTGAGTGAATCAGTGAGTGTGTGTGGGAGAGAGCGCACAATTGAGCGTTTCGGCGAGTTTCGGTTTTCAAACAGTAGTAAAAGTTCAATAATTAATTGACTACCTAAGCAGCGCGCTGCTTTGTTTAGCGGCAGAGCAGCTGCTGTTGAGCAGCTCAAAAACTTTTCGGCCAGTTTAATTGATGAGTGATTTTGTTTTGTAATATGGGGCGTATGTGTGACATGGTAAAAGTTTTTTGTATTCCATTTTTGTTTTTCTATTTCTCTTTCTGTCAACTGTTTGCTTGGGCGTACACATAACGGGGGAGCTGGTAGAGAAGTTGTGAAGCGAACGGAAGCCCGGGCAGCCGTTGCTGCTAATCGCACACTTTGATTATGATATATGAGGGCATTCATGGTTGCTGCTTGTCTGCCACTGCGGGCGGACCTCGTCGTCCAACTGTCCGTTGGCTGTCTGCGGACTGGCTTTGCAATGGCTCAGCGTGGGCGCCCGCTGTGCAGGAGCCATCCAACTGCATGAAGGCCGGGCCAGGGTGAGCAAAAAACGCATTAAGGCAGACATCAATGGCAGGTCCAGGCAAAAAAGCCAAGAATTCGCGACTGGCTAGCCAGTAACAGTAACCGATTAAGCTCAAACCAACCCCACCGCAAAACACACACAATCAGTGCGAGAGGGATGCACTTAGCTTTCGTTGGTTGGTAGAGCGAGCGAGCAAAAATCATGGTGTTGCGTTCTACGCTCACATCCACCCTACTCCTACTGCCCGGTGGTGGTGTGAGCGAGACGCACTTACACAGACAGTGGCCGAAGCGACACGAGGCGACGCGCCTAATTGATTTATTTGCCCATTCCCGAGCTTATTCCCGTTGCCCATTCCACAAGTCCTCCACTCTCCAGTACACACATATCCATATGTACATATGTGTGTCTGTATATAGGTATGTAAGTGAAGCAACGACGCTGGTTGGCTTTCTTTGGATTGCCGTGCCCTTGCGGCCCATGGTTGTATGATGGTATGTCTGCATGTCTGTAAGTCTGTAAGATTGTATGTTGAGTACGAGTATTTTTTTCTTTTTTAATAATGGCTGTCGGACGAACTACGGTAGCTCTTGTTTCTCGCTCTCGCCGTTGTGATTATGGCAAATGGAGCGCCGCTCATCGTGCGTGACTCTGTGTAGGCCTGTGCAGCTTTGAAGACGGCGCTTTTCGTGCCTTGCATATGTACATAGATACGTATGTATACAGCTATACAGCGGAAGCTCTGGTTTGTTTTGGCAACCAATTGTCCACTTTGAAGGCGTCGCATTGCAGCAAAAGTGTCGCACAGGCCGCACTTCCATAGAGCCAACCACTGCAATCAACAACATGGCAATTTTTGGTCAAAACCATCTATTATATATAGAACATGGAGGCCCTCGATGGGGCGTGATTGCCAGCTCGACTGATTGCTAATTAGCGCTCTGTCAGATAATGAAAAATAATCAATTTTAATGGGCTGTAATTTGCTACCGCAAAAGCAACAATAATTCAAATTAAAAGGCAAACTTTAACCGGCAAAACGCCACCGCAGATACAACAAAAATCACAGACATATACATATGTATGCACATATACACACACGCACGCGCACAATCGTCTACGAGAATTAATATTTATTTATTTCCAAAGATAGAAGACTAAGCAAAAAGTTGCGTTTCACTGAAAAATGTTTAATTTGACTGTGAGAGAGAAACACAAAATTTGTCTTAAATGCTGTTGTTGCTTTTTCTTCTCATTTTCACACTGTAGCTTAACTTACATAATCAAAATGCCCATGTCATAATTACGGGCTCAATTGAGTTTGAGTCGCACTCAATTTGAGTGAGAGCGCTGCATACAGCAGAGGCGTGCCAGTCACACCAATGCTACTACAGCTGCCTGCACAGCAGTCGTCTCTCTCTGGCATAGGCATTCGCTGTATGCGCTCGACAGCCAATGAGCGATGTCGACTGGCGCTCACTGAACCCCCGCTAAACGGTTAAAGACGATTTGTACGTTCTCATTTGGAATGTAAACGCTTCCGAATGAGCCGCGCACTGAATATATACTTATGTATGTGTGGGTGCGTGTGAGTCGGCTGGTAATGCTATAGAAAATCATTATTGCTGGCTTATTTCTCACTGCAGTTGATTGCCGCAGATTGGATAATGGCGTTCGGTCGATTCAAACCGCACCGCCTGCCACCCTCTGGCCCCATGATGATTGATTTTCATTTTGTTTTTGGCCAGCATGATTGATTACGTTAATTACGCGCCTAATTAAGCATTTATCACTGTATCTAATGGACTCACAAAGAGTTCGCTCCTTGCGCCATTTGCATGGCAATTGTGTCGCTGCCGACGTCGCCAACAAATTATGCTCGCGCCTAATTGCGTTTCGTGCGCCTTTTTTCGGGTATGGGGAATTAATTATGGCCGCCTGACATTAGCCGCCACCGTTGCCGTCGAAGCTGCCGTTGCCGCCGCCATTATTTTAACATTATTTCTGTAGCAGAGTTCCTAGTCAGATAGCGATCTAGTATCTACATGCAAGTGGCAGCCAATGCCCAATGCCCAAGCCCAAGCCCAAGCCCAAAAGCCAAGACATAGCCGAAAGCCGTACCCAAGTCAAAGCCCTCCTGCGCAGACCCGCGCATATTTGTGGTAGCCACGCTTCCTGTTTTTGTTTGTTTGGCGGGCCCAGCTGTCCGGCTGTCCGGCTGTCCGGCTGTCCGCCTGTCTGTCCGTCTACAACATAGACAAGAAGTGCCCGTTGTGGGCTTTTTTTGTGCCTTTGGTTAGCGGCGCGGTGATGTTTACCCATATGTAGGCATATTCATATGCTGATTGCGATTGCGGGTGTGTGTAATGGTCTAACCAAGGGGTTAGACGGCATCAGTATTCATATGTATTCCCCCTACCAACAAGATACTCTTGGGGCAATAACACAATGGCCGCAAACCTTTTGAACCGTAAAAATGAAATTTGCCGCCGCTGATGAATATATGTTTTTTCATGTTGTAATCTTTTTTCAGAGCTCTTTAAGAATTTTACACGACTGTAATTAGAAATACTTAATGCTGAATACGGAATTTAGGTAGAGGTATTAACGGCCAATAGAAGATTTCACATCTCAGCTCATTTGGGGAATTGCAGACGAAGTTCTTCAGCGCTTTCGAACCACAGTCAGCGGAAATGAGCTCGGGCTTCTCGTTTTTGTTGTCGCCGCTCGCCGTTCGTCGCTCGACAATGGCCGCCATCTGAGGAAGTGCTTAGCGCCTGCTCAGAATTATAAAGTTCCGCTCTTTATCTGGCCCCAGCCAAGAGGCAAAGCTGGCCAAAAGCTTCTAGTTTGAATACTAACTAATCGATTGTTTTTATTGCGGCCTTCTTTTTAAGGCGGACACAAATGGAGTTTTACAAGTCTATAAAAAAGCACAAAAAAAAAACCACATAAATATGTATTTTTTGCTACCGAATTTTACGAATTTTGTGATAAACAACAAATGTTATATCAATATGCAACTGAAATTTGATATTAGAGCTTTTTAGAAACAAATAAACTGAATAAACTATAAAAATGTTGTATACGAAGCTTTTAGAGATTTGAACCCAAAAGATATTCATCTCTGAAAGAGAACCGTAAAATGTATGTTCACATAAATATTTATTATATATGTCATATTATTATGAATCTTAATGTCATATGTTATATGATAGAAGCCCATAGTCAAATCCAAGCTCGTCTCTCATCACGCACACACACTTACACACACACCTCCACTAGCTGTAATGTAATGATTAACTCCTCGCCGTCGCTAAATTAAGTGAGTTTTTACTTAACTACGGATCGAGAGAGGGGATGGGTGGAGTGCATAGGGTAGCCTTTGGGGCAGCCACGCGGGGCAAGTTCTTAATGCAGTGCTCCTGCGACAAGCTAATTCAGCTGCTGCTACAGTTGAACTGGAAGCCAGGCATTGCGTGTCTGGGGCAGAAATGATTTCCACATACCACAGCAGTTAAAGCCCTTAAGTCAGGGAGAAAATCCAATTAAATTCGGTAGCGAAAGAAATAAGTCCGAACTGTCGGTAAAATGATTCTACATACACGTATTTGCGTCAACATTGATTTTGCAGAAACAACAACTGACGATGACACGGACGAAGCGAAGGGCAAAGCAGCTGAAGACCGAAACGGAGACAGAGACGTAGACGAAGACGGAGGAGGAGACGGAGACGGAGACGGAGGGGGAGACGGACTAAAGTAGTTCATGTGCATGGCGTGATTGAGGACGAAGATGGAGCTGAGGACAGCAGCAACAGCAACGGACACATTCAACATCAACATCAACAGCAGCAGCAGCAGCAGTTTTCTGAGGCGTGATCCGAGTTTAAGAGCTGGGATTGGACTCGCATTCTGTAGATATTCTTTGGCAGTCGCAGCCGCAAAACCGTCGAAAAGTTGCGTGCCCATAGGTCTTCTGTGTAATTGCGCAACAATTGTCAGGTTCCAGTCTTAGGCCCAGCCTCATATCCAGTCTCAGTCTTAGTCTCAGCCTCTGCCGCAGTCGCAGTCGCAGCGTCTGTTGCTGCGCTGTCGCTGGCTTTAAGGGCGCATTGCATCAACCGCAATCAAGACACGGACACGTCATGAACAAGAAAACAAAACAACAGCAACAACAACAAAAAATCAACAGGGGAAAAAACAAAACAAAACTCCTGCAGCTATGGCTACCTTCGTG